ATTCACCCACCCTCAAGATACTGAGCTGACAGTAAAGAAACACAAATATTAACAGAAAATCTTGGTAACTAGATTGAGGCTGTCAAACCATGACAGTTGATCCTTAATAGGATCTTGACACAAGCATTGAATCACATGGCCAATGAACCTCCAAAACACACTGTCAACTTAAAAGATTTGAAAACTAGGAGGCTGCCAAGTCATGGCAATTGAGGTTTACAACAGAAAAACAAAAGCATGTTGACACAAGTAATCAAAACAATGGCTCATGAGATTAACAGATCAATCAGAGCAGATTTCAGGATGATTTCAAAGTAATAAACCAGACATGGTCAAGGCAAGCAGACAAGGCAATTTGTCATGAAAACGATTACATCATAAATCATTCAAAACTCAACCATTTTTGACAAAATTTAGGTCTATCTCATGTGAAATTTAACAAGGAACACAATGGAATTATTAGTTTTTTCAGATAATGTCTACAAATCAAAACACGATAGCAGTTGCAAGTGAAAGCTTATGTCATGCATTTTGACAGCCACAACTCAAAACAAAAATGAATATGGTCAAATGAGGGTATGCACAACTTTCAAACACACAAACCATAGATTCTAGATGCAAGGATCCAACAGAAACAACTCCAAACAAAATTTGTCATGCTTCTTGCAACTATGTGAACAAAAGTGTTGAAATGCATTTTGGAAGCTATGATGCAAGACATAAGTGATTATGACCAAGTAAAGGTATGCACAAGTTTCAAATATGTTATTCATGGATTATACATGCCAAGATCAGTCAAAAACAACTTCAAACAAAATCTGTCATGCAAGTTGCAAGGATGGAATAAAAATGTTGAAATGCTGTTGGAAAACATGGACAGTCATGATGCAGCATACCTGCCTCAGCTCAATACACATAAAGTGATCCTCATACATATCACAAACATGAGTTCAAACATAATTTTGCAAGAGGACTTATCATAGAGATAACAACACATGAAGTGAAACATTAAAATAGAATCTGGCAGCAACTTGTACTTGAACAAAAAGGCTTGAAATGCTATTTGAAAACAAGGACAATTCATGGCAGCATACATGCTTCACCTCATCAACATTCATTAAATGATTCACATATGCATCAAATCATGAATTCCAAACAACTTGCAAGAGTACTTAACAAAAAATGATAGCACATGAGGCAAAACAGAAACTCAACGAGGTTAGTTGTCATGTGGCCCCATCGCACACCATTGTTGTATGCCTGCGTCCATTTCTCCCTATCAATGTTATCAATCCATCTTAATGCATCCGCGTTTGTTAGTCTGATCTCGTCACGGTAGTATTTGAATGTGGGTTCTGTTAGTGCATATCCCGCATTCACAACCTTCTTCCGTAGCGTCTTGTCTTTGATTTCCCGCATGAAATTTTGGGCGATATGCCTTATGCAATAGACGTGGGTCGATGGAAGATCCTGCCAACCGTTATCAAGGTTGTTGTATGCACTCTCGATTGGTGGGTGTCGATCAGAGATCAGACATAAGTTAGTTTGGGGAGACACGTAAGAGCGGAGATTTTTTAAGAAAAAACTCCAACCCCCAGTAATATCCCCTTCTACTATAGCGAAGGCTATTGGAAAAATGATGTTGTTCCCGTCCTGTGCCACAACCATGAGCAGCGTGCCCTTATATTTCCCGTATAACCATGTTCCGTCAATTGAATTATAGGTTTACAATATGCAAACCCTTTGATGCATGGTTCAAACGCCCAAAAGAGTCTGTGAAAAATTCCATTTCCACCAATGCAAGTCCCGTCTAGTGTACACGCATGCATTATCTCCAATATCACAGCAGTTCCTGGAGAGTAGTGTTTAAGAGCCACCAGGAATTTTGGAAGTTCCTTGTACGACTCCTCCCAATTCCCAAACACCCTTTCAACCACTTTAGTCCTGGAAATCCAGGCTTTTCGGTACGAAGGAGTGTAATTGTACCTTTGAACCATATGTGCAATTATGGTACTCACCTTCAAAGACGGGTTGTCGCTAACGACTGACAGAATCTCATCGCAAATCAATCGAGAGCTGAGTTTGCGATGGTCTTGCATCGGATTCGAGATTATACAACTGTGGGATGGATCCATTGACCCTTTCCGGAAAGACGTTGTTAATCGGAACGGGCACTCCTCGTTACGATAATAGATCATATACCGCGTCGGGTTTGTCCGATCAACTCTATAATCGGCTGATAACTCCATGTGAAACTGTTTGATTGCCCGAACACAATCTTCTTTAGTACGAAACTCGTCACCCTCTTGTAGTTGCCCTTCTGTTGTGTAGTTGGGGTTGTAGAAAACATCCGTAGAGGGTTCATCGTCACCCAAGTCGAGAGTTGTCATGTGTTGAGGTGGAAAATAAACATTGCCGGGTGGAACCCCGTCCTCCTGGTTGTTCACCATCTCGTCAACAGTGACTTCAGTTGCTTCTTCTTCTTCGTCAACAACATTGACTTCAGCGTGTTCATCGTCAGAATTGCAAAAAACTTGAGAAGAATCAAGTTGCTGAGACAATTGTTGTTGTTGTAACGTAACATATAACACGATATCTGAGAAACCAGAATACTCGTGACTCCGGAACATGTTACGCACATCTTCATCGTCTCGCACCACATTGTAGTTTTTTTTTATATTATTTGCCCAACTGGACAACATTGCAGTTTTTTTTCTATTCTTGACTTCAGGTGTAAAAAATTAGACCTTCTGTCAATTAAAAATCTTGTAACATCAGTGTTTCTGAAATTGTAACCCGATACTTCACATTCAAAAACTTCACCGTTAAGATGTGCGGAAATCATATATTGTGGTGTCTGAGACATAGCGAAAATTGTGTTTGGAAAGACTGTATTAAAGAGTTTAGTATTTGAGTGTTTGAGAGTTTGAAAGTTTAGTGTATTAAATAGTTTGAGAGTTTGAAGGTTTGAGTGTTTGAGTGTTTGGAAATCTGTCCCGTGAGTTGATTCCCTGCATGCAGCATGCTTGATAAGACATGACAGAGCAAGACTCTGTGTTTCACATGTGACCCTGCATGCCTACAATGTCTCTGCAGGCCTACGAGATTCTTATCCTGCATGCAACATGCTTGATAAGACAGGACAGGGCAATACTCTGCGTTTCACATGTGACCCTGCATGTAGCATGCTTGATAAGACAGGACAGGGTAAGAATCTGCGTTTCACATGTGACCCTGCATAAAAAAGACTCTGATAGTATGAAATCTTTTTATATTTATTTCAATTAAATCTAGTTTACAATTTTAAGCATGGGCATTGGGCTAAACTACGACAGCGCCGTTGATAGTGGACCTCCCGGCTATTGGGGTCAAATGCTGCAAAATCTATCTGATACGCCGGGGTTGTCCCAACAAAACCCTCCTCCACAACTCAACACACAACGACCAGACACACCACAGCAACCTCGTCGTAGACCTCGTCGCAACGCGCATCCCCCGCAGTGTGACACCGGTGGTCGCTTGGATAGAGCCGGCCATTAGTTTTTTTTTTGTTGTTGTAATTTTCATTATATTGTAAATTAATATATTTTAATATTTTTTACATTTCTATATTATTTTAAGGTTATTTAAATTTCAATTCATTATGAAAAATAAACAACATAATTTATTGACAAATATTTATTAATAGGAAATTAAAATATTTATAATTTTAATAACAAACTTAATGTTATTACTATTTAAACATGTATTTAAATATTTGCATAAATTGAATATGTATTTAAATATTTGCATAAAATTTAATATTTATTAATATGTTATTTAAATATTTACATAAATTAAAACATTTAATGAATGTATTTAACATTTTTTTATAGAAAATATTCATAATACAATAATTAAAATTGGAAATTAAAAAACCAGAAATATGGAAACCCTAACTTACAACTAAGTCGCCATTTCAGATGGCGATATTGTTTATTTTTCTTCCCTGTCGCCAATTGCAACGGCGATTTCATGCAATGTCAATTCTGAATGCAACACTGTTGCCATTTGGTTCGACGACAGTCTGTTAAATGTTTGCCACTTTCGTCAATCTTTTGAATGTTTTGTTTTTTGATAAATACTATCCAATACATGATTAATTTAAAAAAAAAAATTCTCCGAATTAAGTCCAAGACGATCATATTATAGGTTCAATATGCAATAATATGCAAGATATGAATACCGGTTCTTGTAACTGATTTTGATTCAAGTTTTTACCTTCACCAAATTGTCACCTATTTTATTTTTATAAATATTTTTAATGTGAAATTTATAAAAAAAAATCAAATAAAAAATCATTTAAATAGGTTTTTATAAAAAAATTATTGAAATTATTTAATTTTTTGTTATATTTTTAGATGATGAAATTTCAAAAATTCATTAAAATTTAAATTTATTTTAAATTAATTTTCTTAAAATTTATTTTCGAGATATATCTTTATAAAAAATATATAATTTTTATTAGGTTAAAATTCTAATCTATAAATATTTAAGTTATTGAATATTACTATTACTCTTAACTTATATTATCTCCGTTTTATATTATAAATCACTTTAAAAAAAGTTATATGACAATATAAATCATTTTATAATATCAATGAATTATTAATGTTATTTTTTTTTATTCTATCCTTAAATATTTAGTATTCTCTCCCATTTCAATTAAATAAATTTGTTTTTCTAATATTATTAATAAAAAATAATTTTGTAAAATCTTTTAAAATTTCTCTTTTTCATACTATAATAAATGTGAAAAGTCAAAAACCACTTATAATAAAAAAAACAGAAATAGTATAAGAAATTAAAATATTTGTATTTAAATTTATAACAAAAATTGATTCTATAAACTATAATATAAACTTTTTAGATCTATCCGTGTTTTCTTATGATAGCTTTAGCTTTAGGTTTTGAAAATTTTAATCACTGGCTCGGCGGAAACAAATGCACGGCAAGTGAAGATGGTGAAAAAGAGCGTTCATCTGCCTGACGAACTGATAATTGAAATTCTGTTGAGATTGTCGGTAAAGACTCTGTTACGTATCAAGTGCGTCTGTAAGTCATGGCTTTCTCTTATCTCTCTTCCCTATTTTGCAACTTCACACTTTCAACTGGCCGTTTCTCGTCCTACACATGGACTTGTCTTGTTAAAAACATATTCTTCCGATGATCATAAAGCCCTAATAGTTGATTTTGATGCATCGCTTAAAGATGATTCATCGTATGCTCCACTAACCCATCATTTTCAGCCTCCCGGAATATCTTGCCGTAAAGTTAAAATTGGAGGTTCCTGTAGAGGGTTCATATTTTTGCACACTCACACAGACTTCTATCTATGGAATCCATCCACCCGTGTCCACACAAAAATACCGGCCTCTCCTGTAGTTTTTGTCTCCAAATCCAATATCCATCCTTACACTTTTCTGTATGGTTTTGCATATGATCATAAAACTGATGATTACTTGATAGTTTTGGGGTCTTCCTATTCTCCGGCATCAAGTATTGACTTGGAGATTTTTTCACTGAGAGCTAATAAGTGGGAACAGATTGAGATTGGTTCTCATTTTCCTTATATAACTAGGGTGATATATGGAGAAGTCGGGTTGCTCTTAAATAATACTATTCATTGGGTGGTTTTTAATTATGAGACCTCAAGGGATGTTATTATTGCCTTTGATATTAAGGAAAGGAAAATGTCAGAGATAGCTCTTCCATGTGATGTTTGTGCTACAGATTGTCCTCATGACTTCAGTTTGTCGGTACTTGGTGGGCTCATCAGTGCATCGGTTGTGGAAATGCAGACAGTTAAGATATGGGTGATGCAAAATTACGCCATGCATTCATCTTGGACTAAGATTATTGAATTTTCTTTCGGTTTTGTTCCGCTCCATTCTTTAGCCATAGCGTTCTTTACAAATTGTGGTGATATAATTGGAACAGACAATAGAGGTGGGTTGGTGAAGTTTAATGACAAAGGACAGCAGCTAGAGCATCGCAAGTGTGGCAAGGGATACGACGCAGATCAAAGATTCAAAAGATCCCAAATGGTTGTGTATACAGAATCTATGCTTTCACTCCCTTGTGGCACTGGGGAGGCTTAAGAATATGAATAGTGATAACAAACAAGAAGAACCTGATTGGGAAATGTTAGCATTTATGTTTTCTTTATATTTATCTTGTACTATGAAGTCTAGGTATCATGATAATGTTTTATCTTTTGCAGTATTTTATATGCTTTTTCTATGTAAACATTAGCAAATTGTTTTCTGTTTTTTCTTATTTATTTTGGCCTTGACATCTTGCCGCAGAACTTATTGCATTGTAGGATGATATCGCGTCTTTCTTTTTAGCTCGAAAAATCACTCAGCAATGGACACTAGTTATTCGAACTAGATGCTATTAGAAATATTAATTTATTATATTATTTATGTTGGTAACTGATTTGTTTTGATTTTAGGAATATATTGTTAGTGACTTACAATTTTATTAAGCAGTTTGTATTCTTGTTATGTCAACACATCAATCAATAAAACACCAGTTTTCGGTGCCTCTGTACTCTAAGTTAACAGTGGTATCAAGAGCAAGTTAATTTAGAGAAAAATCTGAGTGAAACACAGTGAGATTTGAGCAAAAACATCATCGATGGCGTCTTCCAATGAGAATTTTGTGCAGACTGCAATTCCTCGTTTTGATGGTCATTACGACCATTGGAGCATGTTAATGGAGAATTTCTTGAGATCTAAAGAATATTGGCAAGTCATTGACTCCGGATTTACATAGCCTGTGAAGGGAGCAGTTCAAACAGATGCGCAGAAGGCAGAATTTGAGGCACTGAAACTCAACGATCTTAAAGCCAAGAACTACTTGTTTCACATAGATTGAGCAATTTTGGAGACGATTCTCAGCAAAGAAACCTCCAAACAGATTTGGGACTCAATGAAGAAGAAATTTCAAGGGAACGCTAGGGCAAGACGAGTGCAGCTTCAAGCCCTACGGAGTGAATTTGAGACTTTACGCATGAAGTCGGATGAGTCTGTCACAGATTTCTTTGGAAGAACGATGATCATCGCCAACAAAATGAGAATTCATGGAGACAAGATGGAGGATGTGACCATTATTGAGAAGATTCTTAGATCAATGACAATAAAGTTCAATTTTGTTGTTTGCTCCATTGAAGAATCCAAAGATATTGATTCACTTACGATTGATGAATTGCAAAGTTCCTTGTTGGTTCATGAGAATAAAATCAACAAACAAGACAAAGAGGAGCAAACACTTAAAGCCTCGACTTATTCAAATACCTCTAATTTTAGAGGAGGCCGAGACAGGGGCAAGGGCAGAGGAAGAGGTCGAGGCGGTTACGGTAGAGGCGATAATGGTCGTAGCAGCAACCATAACAATCCTGCCAACCACCAGAATTTAGACAACTCAGGAAGAGGAAGAGGTCGAATGGGCTATCGTGGAGGTAATCATTCAAACAATTGTCGCCCAAAATCTAATGTTGAGTGTTATCGCTGTCATAAATATGGTCATTATCAGAATGAATGTAGAACTTACTTGAATTGCCAAAATGGAGAAAGGACCAACTTTGCAGAAAGAGAAGAAGAGGAATCTCTCTTGATGGTGTGCAATGTAACCGAGGAGATTCCAGATAATCTGTGGTATTTGGATATGGGCTGCAACAATCACATGTGCGGTGATAAGACAATATTTTCAGATTTGGATGAGTCTTTTCTGAGCACCGTCAAATTCGGCGACAATTCCAAAATTAAGTATGTTGGAAGGGGCAATATTATTTTCAAGGCCAAGGGAAAAAAAAGTCACAAGATCTCCGATGTCTTCTTTGTCCCAGAATTGAAGACCCAACTTGATTAGTCTAGGACAACTTCAAGAAAAGGGGTACGAGATTCTGATCAAGAATGGTGTTTGTCGGGTTCAAGACGAAAAATTAGGGTTGATTTCTCAAGTTAAAATGACAGATAATCAGTTGTTTCTGTTAAATCTGCATAGATCCACCGGTTCTTGTTTCTCAGCAAAGATTCAAGACTCAACATGGTTATGGCATTTTCGCTATGGTCATCTCAATTTTGGAGGATTGAAAACACTGCAGTAGAAAAATATGGTGACAGGTCTTCCGGAAATCGCACCTCCAACTCAGATTTGTGAAGATTGTGCTGTCAGCAAGCAGCATCGAGACTCTTTTCCATCTGGAAAATCCATCAGAGCCAAGAAAGTGCTAGAGGTGGTTCATTCGGACATTTGTGGCCCTCTAAATCCAATCTCGAATGGAGGTAAACAGTACTTCATTACCTTCATTGACGATTACAGTAGGAAGACATGGGTGTATTTTTTGAAAGAAAAATCTGAAGCATTTGATGTTTTCAAGACATTTAAAGTGTCTGTTGAAAAGGAAAGTGGATGCGTGATTACGGTTCTGCGAACAGATCGTGGTGGAGAGTATACGTCGCATGAATTCACAAAGTTTTGCGAGAATCATGGAATTCAAAGGAAGCTTACATCAGCATATTCACCTCAGCAAAATGGTGTTTGTGAGCGGAAAAATTGCACTATTATGAACATGGTTCGAAGTTTGCTAAATAGAAGTGGAATCTCTAAAACTTTTTGGCCTGAAGCAGTGAATTGGAGCGTCCGCATTTTGAATAGAAGTCCGACCTTTTCTGTTCAAAACATGACTCCTGAGGAAGCATGGAGTGGAAACAAACCAGCTGTCAATCACTTCAGAATTTTTGGGTGTGTTGCCTACGCTCATGTCCCGGATCAGAGAAGAACAAAACTTGAAGACAAGGGGGTGAAGTGTATTTTTCTTGGTGTTAGTGATCAGTCAAGAGCATATAAGCTTTATAATCCTAACACCAAGAAGATTATAATTAGCCGTGATGTGATATTTGATGAACAAAATTTTTGTGCAGAGAATAAGAGTGTTGTTGTGCATCAAGAGAAACTGGTGGATTTTGATGAAATTGAAGATGAGCAGCCTGAAACTTCAAGTGTGCAGCACCGGTCCACACAACAGCTGTAACAACCCGATTTTCCTTAATTAATTATTTGCATTAATTAATGGGTGTTGCGGTGGAAATAGGATATCAAATATTAATTAATTTGAATCACAATTCAGTTCACAACCGCTCTTTGATTTATCCGAAGGAAAAGGTCAAAAGAGGGAAAACCTATTTTTGCATCGCAAACACAATGCGGGGAAAGATCTAGGGTTCGGGGGTTGGTTAAATTTAGGGAAGGTATTAGCACCCTAAACTTCTGTAGTACTCTACAGGAACCTTTTGTTCAAATGTTTACTATTTGCTTTATTTATTTGCTTACGGTATATGTACAAAAGGATTAAAAGTGAGAAAAGAGACCTAAGGGGTTAATTCTAAGTTTACTCGGCAAGACATCGCATCTTGTGCCTACGTATCCTTACGGGAGTGGAATCAGAGTAATCGTAGTTCCCCTCAAAAGGGAGGTTAGAGACTTCTTGACTGTGGTCAAGGTCTCAAGGGGAATAAACGCATCTTAAGGACACGCTTACGTGGAGTGTAGAAACTCCAAATCTCTACGTTGAAATGTTAAGTTGTAATTAGGGTTAAATTAGGGATTCCACGGCGGGAAACCCTAAAATGAGCGCGGCGGCTCTTTGACCTAAAGCTAGGGGTAAAATTGTAATCTTGCCTGCGGTGAGGCATTTGTGAAAATTAGGGTTTGTGAGGTTGTAAGGGTTTGAAGTTGAGGACTATTGACACGGCGGTCAAACGGCTAGACCTAGTTCCTTCGGAGTGTGTAAGGTGACAGAAATAATGCCATACATCAGCAGAAATTTAAATCATACATCATCAGAAATTTAAATGCGAAAAGTAAACGCGATTATTAGGTTCGCGAGATTACAACTGAGAAGAAGATACAAATATAAACGAAACTTGAATCGAGAAATAAAATAAATAACGGTAAACATGACAAGCTGCAAAACCAATGAACAATGTTAGTAGGCAAAGTCAACCAGCTATCAGATGAATTACGAGGCAATGAAGAAAGTGAGATGCAAACTCGAGATCTATTATTGTTTTATTTAATATTTAATGATTTAGCTTACAAAAGAAATTTAAAAAAAAGTTTTATTTTTATATTTTTAAAAAATGGTTTTTCTTATTTTATTTATTTAAAAAAAGAGTCCCTTCATTTTATATTTACAAAAGTTTTAATTTTATATATAAAAAAGAGTTTTATTTTTATTTTAAGAAAAGATTTTTTATTATATTATAAAAACTTTTTTATTTATGTATAATATCTTCACAAGAAAAAAATTTAAAACATTTTAAAACAAATAAAAACATAATTTTAAAAACAAAATAAATAAAATAAAAACACAAAACATAAAGGGGTTGGGCCGGTCATCACCCCGGACCCAACCCGGTTGAATTAAACTTTGGAAAGCAATTAGGGTTCTCAGAACCCTAATGCTCTTGAGGCACCGTTTTACTTCTTCTTCTTCTTTCCTCTATCTCGCGATCGCCATGCATCTTCTTCTCCGTTCTCTTTCGCGATCCTGAAAAACACATAAAACGGTAATGATAAGCAATCCTGGCTCACTTTTATGGTGAAACGGCCGGTGATGAGGTTTTCCTCTGAGGCTTGGAATCGATTGCCCGCCGTTCAAACGGCGAAGGTGATCTTTTCCTCCGGTGTTTCGCTCGTGGCTTCGTTCGTACGGTGATGAACGGCGACGATGATGAGACTTCGTCTCTGAGTCTCGCGATTTCTCGTCCGTTAGGGTTTCTGCGCTTTGGGTGTTCTTCGTTAGGGTTTCCACCGCCTCCTTCCATCAGGTTGTATCCTCCCTTTTATAACTTCTATTTATCTCTCTTTTTGGGCCTTGAACTTGCGTTTTTTCTGAGATATGCATTTGATGATCTGATTTGATTTTGTGTTGATGCAATTTGATTTTGATTTTGATTTTTCCAGATTGAGTTCCAATAGGATACGATTTGGATATCATTTCTTCTCTTGGAATCCTGATTGGGGTTTTGGTGAGATTGAAATTCATTTTTCTGGTATGAATTTGATACTGATTCGTTGATTGATTCAAAAT